AGTCGGAACTTTCGTGAACTTTTCGGAAGTTACACGAACTTGTGTTAAGTTCCACAAACTTGTCGGAAGTTCCATACAAATTTCAAAAGTTCCGTGAGCATATCGGAAGTTCCGTGAACATGTTGGAAGTTCTGTGAAGAATTTACGGAACTTCCATCGAAATTCTGAGTAAACTTCAAGGAAGTTCCGAGTGAAATTCAGAGAAGGACCAAATTAATTTTAGAGAAAATCCTATCATAATTTGCAAAAGCTTAGAGTTTCAAACGGACTCCAGAGAAGTTCAGAGGGAATGTTCAGAGAAATTCCAATGAAAATTCGTGCATTTTTAGAACCCGGGGATTCTTGAAAAACTGTTTTCTATGTTGAATTTTGTGGTCCAGAATGAACATTGATGACCGTACATTTGAAAGTTATCCAGTAAAGGGTTAGCAATACATTATCAGTGTGCAAACTCCGATGAATCAATACTTCCACGGTTCCGGCCACGTCCTTACGGTCATCAAGAGGATTCACTTTGGAAACCGATACCATATCAACTCAGTATTGTTAAGGGTCCTGGTATTGAAGGCACGATTTTGGCCACCCAGCCCCGTCAGCATTTGGCCACCCAGCCCCGTACCCCACAGTTATCCATGAAACCAACAATCATTTAAGCCCGGTAACCAGCAATGGAAACTAAATTTATTCAAATTACCTTTCAGATAAGTTATGAGGAATTGCCAGAGAAGCTCCAAGGGTACATCAAGGAATTAATAAGAGTTGACATTCTCTTTAGTGACGTTTGAATGAAACGTTAGGGAAATTCCAAAAGAATCTCAAGGAAGTTCTGAGGAAACTTCATGGAAGTCAATGAAAATCCCCCAGAACTTCCTTAAAGTTCCCTTGGCACTTTCCTAAAGCTTACTCTGCACTTCCATGCAGTTCGTTTCGGAAATGCTCTGAGGTTCATTGGGAACTTCTCCAAAGTTCTCTCTGGATTTTATTGAAGTTTGCTCTGAACTTCTCTGAGGTTTCCTCAGAAAAATCCTGATGCATCATGCCCAGTGAATTCTGATCAGGAATTTCCGGTTATTTTCCGTTTTTTTTCACGAAATTTTAGAAATTTTCCCAGTTGTTGAGTAAACATTTAAATTTAGCATAACACCGAAAGCCGAAGAGATTACTAGGATATCTGGGTCATTATGAAAAAAGGGATTTTTTTATAGTCGAATTTGGTTCTACGTTTGAGTTCTTCAAAAATTGCATATGTTTTAACTACCTTTAAAATTTACTCAAAACACTTTGCTTTGGATTTTTTTTTTTCACAGAGATGCTCTTGGAATTCCCTTTATATTATTTTTATTTTGTTTAAAGAGACTTTACCCTTCAAGGGCATTCGTCTCTGCCTTAAAATTATTCTCAGAATTCCTTTGGAATTGTACCCTCAAAATTCGATTCCCTTGGTATTTTCCACGTATCTCGGGATCCTCTTCACAATTGATTTGGAATTTTCCTCAGAGCTTCTTAAAAATTCTACTCTGACTCACACAAGTGTTAAAGTCTTAAAATCTCTAAGTAGGGGAAATGTATGTTATTACGGCCTAAGTGTCCCTAATTTGGGCCCATACATAAATTCAGCAATCGACTAAATTTTCAATATCAACCAAAAATATCCATTAGTAAATAGTAGATTTTTAGCGATGGGCCCAATCTTAGATCCATAGGCCAACATTAGAGCCATTTCCCCTGTTCTTTCGAAAACTCCTTTTACTTTTACTTTACTTTACTCTGAAATACCTTGGTGTTATTTATGACATTCGTTCAAAAATCTTCTTGAAATTCATTTAAAAGAAATCTAGTCCATTGCATTGCAATAATCATACAAAATTTCAAATAGGACAAATGGATGTAATGTCGGCCTAAATGCCCCTGATTTGGGCCCATACAAAAAATCAGCAATCGACTAAATTTCCAACAGCAACCAAGAATATCCATTAGTGCCGTCCCAATAACGCGTTCATCTAGATAAAATTGATAAATAGCAGATTTTTAGTGATGGGCCCAATCTTAAATCCAAAGGCCAACATTAGAGCCATTTCCCCTATCCAAAATCTTATTTAAAAAAATGTGGTTATCAATTTTTTCTCGGGTTGTTCCCGGTGACTTCAAATTACCGATTTTTCAGGTTTTCCCGATTTCCCAGTTCATTGGTTGATGCTTACCGGAAAATCGCTGCAATTTCATCGGAACATCCCTCAAACCTTAATTGAACTTCCCATAGAATTGTTCTGATGTTCGGTTCTGTGTTCCATACCCTTTAACTTGTTTGAAGCCTCTTTAAAAAAATTCATATACTCCCTTGGAACTGCCCTAAAGGTCCCTTGAACCTCCTCTGAAGCTGGTTCCCACAAAATTTCTTAAAACTCCCTTCTGATCTTCTCAAAAGTTCCTTCGGAACTTTTCAGGAACTTCCTCAGGTTTTTCCAATGTTTACCCGAATAATTCTCGAACAACACTTGAAAGGTCTAATGTGACTCTAAATGTCGATCGTTCTCAAATCACCACTCGCTCACGTCTTTTTCTCATACCCAGGATTGATCCTCGGTATGCGGGCAGTGTTGCCAGTCTTCATCACACCTTCGAATCAACACTTTCATCAACTTAAAACAAACGTCTGGTCACGGGATGTCAACGTCAATGTGTGTCATTTATATCCCTATCCTGACTCTGTTTTCCTACTGATTAGTGGACTGTTGAACCATTCGATCGGCGATTGCACAACAATGATAATAATAATAATACACACAGACAAACCGACGTGATTAACTGGTTGGATTTTCCATGTCAACAATTTAGGGGCAACGCGATTTTCGTTCTAAAACCTTTTGACTAGTTTTACTTTGTTAATACGATCAACCTGTAGTTTTGAACCATACATTTTAAAGTTATAGGACTTTGGAAGATCATTTTAGTTTTTCCTGTGTCTATTTGATTGTTTTTCTTTGCTTTCTTTCTCCATTGCCATCGGATAAACCCTTTAAGGTGAACCAAAATTCAGCTCAACTTGCTTGTTAAATCACACCGGTTTGTCTGAGTCTAATCCGACAACCAAAAGGTAAACAAAAACCAATAACACACGGACACAGTTGTTTTTGTTTTGAGTAACTTATCGACATCGAACAATTTTGTTATGTTGTTAGTTATCCGTACCTGTAACAGACAGCCATTAGTGCGAAACAAAGGAAGACACATTTGACGATTACCACTAACATGATTACCATAGCTAATGTGCTGACTTTACCTTGGTCGTGGTCTTTTGTGGGTTTATTTTTTTTTGGTTTTACAAAATTTTTGAAGCGAGAATTGTTTTTTTGGGTTTTCAATTGTTCGTCGCGTCGTTGGCGTCGTGTTGTATGTGTTGGTTTCGGCGATGTAGATTTTTATTTGTTTATTTTGATTGGTGGATTGGTATTGGTATCACACGATTTCAATTCAAATGGGCACGCGCGCATTGGATGGAGATTGAAAGGAATGAAAGTTATGATAAAGATCGAATCAAATAGAAACAATAGAACGGCGAGAATGTGTGTGTGAGTGGATGTGTGTCGTCAATGGTGTGAGAGAGCGCGCGCACGCACACACACACAGAGAGGAGAGCTTGATTACAAGTTTGAATTTAGTTCAACGGTTTGATTACGTCGAGGTTAGCTTAGGTTAGGTTTGACACAAACAATTTTGAGGGCCATGTTTAGTGTTTTTGTTTAGCTTGTATTGAAATCTAGATGAATATTTCAAAAGGTCCTATCTGATTTCTCTTCATAGACTTTATTTTTCAAAAGAGGAAGTCGATGAAGAGAATAAATCAATAGCAGATAGGACCTTTAGCAATGTTCATTTATAAATATAAATGCATGAATGAAGAAAATCAAACATAGCAATGTGAAAAATAAAATACAAAAAAGACAACTGAAAGCTTGAAATGATCAAAACAAAAGTGGAACAGTATAGAAGGTAGGGGGTTGCATCTTGAAAGTGATGAGGATGTTGTTTTTTAAGAGTAAATAAGCTTTCAAAGAATATGGTTGCTTAGTTACGAACTACTACCAATCTGGGTTTGATCGGAAATTGTTTTGTTAGCCTACTACGGGGGGATTGGCGGAAGAGCGATGGAGCAAGAAGGCAGTGTTGCCAGATTTATAGTTGAGAGTGAAGGGTTGAATTGTGACTGTGACTGTTATGGCGGGGATTAGCTGTTTGTTTATCTAAAATGAGCTCAAGGGGTTATGCTGGAATCAATTTACTGCTACAAACTACGGATCGGTCAGAGTAGAGAGGCAACAATTTGGGAACGGGAAACGATTACCATTGTCATAATTTGTTTTCGGTTAAACTGCTTTACTGCGGACAAGCGGAACAATTGGGCAGCCCTCTTCAAAGCGTTGCTTTGCTGTTGATTTTGTTATTGCAAAACGAGCGAGGGAAAATCCGATTAGATTTCCCTTTGTCCGAACCGGCTTAGGTGAACCGGGTTCATTAAAAGAATTACTCGATACGGACAGGTGAAAATAAAAGTAAGCAAGACAGAAAATGATAAGGTTATGGTTGAAAGGGTGGACTGTTTTATGTTCAAAAGTTCTCGAGTAATAAAAAAAATGAAGTGAAAGATAGAGCACTTGGAGTTTACTTTTCCTCCACCATGGAGAGAATTTAGCCCAAGGTTATGTATTTCGTCGTTTGTACAGATTACGTGAAAAAAAATGGAGTTAAGCTTTGAAGTTTTGTGGAAAATGAAGACAGATAAAATAACGGAAACCTGCTAATGCAATTTGCTGGACCAAGTGAAAATGATAACAAAAGGCACTGAGCATGAGAGTATGAGTGTAAAAATAGATTTGAAACTGGACAGACCGCGCTAGATAAAGGTGGGATGTGTAGTTTTCTTTGTGTTGGTGGCGTATGGGGTGGGGTGTTGGTGGTGGAACAAGCAGGGCGGAAGAAATCGGAACTCATGGCGCACTTACCGTAGCGAGTGGTTTTCTTTTCCATCTTTTCGTTGATTACCTCCGATGCGGGGGTTGTTACGGGTGACGCGAACGTCGTTGTGATATGAGCCTGTATCGAGCAGTCCGGTCCGGTCCAGCCGAACTTGCAAAAGCACTTGTTTGTGTTGGTGCAATCCTGTTGGGGAATGAGATTGAATTAGTAGGCCACTCGATGACAGATGTGCAGTATTTGACAGAACTGTCAGATGCCACTTGAAATCCTTTGGCCATCAGAAACTGAACGTCACTGCCGACAGCCGGTTATTTCTAGAACGATGTTTTCGAAGCTTCATTACATCATTACAGAAATCCGAGAACAAGTTGATTGATGAGTTCCATTGATGTTACGAGTTTACCAACGTTCAATTCCCCTTAGCCATCTCAACGCAGATAAATATCGAATAGTTTCGAAATCATCCATCAAGAGCTGAGATCAAAGGCCTCAGCCAACTATATCGCTATACACACATACCCACGCGCTTTTCAAAGCACAACTAATGATGCCAACAGGAAGCCATATAAATACTCACCCCATTTCCGGAGCACTCCATATTATGGTGATTGCTGGGACACTTGGTCTGGTCAATGTACGGGAATATACTGACGCAGCTCTGGTTGACGCAGATCAGATTATCGCCACACGGTGTCCCGTCGCGCACCAGACCGAATGGTGGCGTATCGATCGCCGTACCGGATATCGACCTGTAGAGTGTACGGAGAAATAGAAGTTATCATCGCCGCCATCATCATCATCATCGTTGGGTTCAGACGGGATCAAAATTGACTGGCCAATAACCGATACTCACTTGCACTCGTACTCGATTCCCTTAATTGAAACAATTGTCTTAGCGTATTGATTATCCTGGCATTCCTCCACCGGCTTCTTGTCACCGTCTTTGCAGTGTAGCGAACCGCACTGGATGTTTCTGTTGGGGGTGAAAAAGCAAGATGGAGAAAGGGTTTGATTTATAGAAAGTTTTTTTTTTTATAATTTGGTATTAATTTGGTATTCCATTCGCAAACCAAAGCGGACCCCAGTGGAGAATAGAAGAACTATGCAAATGATGATGATTTCAAAATGTTGCACGGGAGGTATACGAGTGCAATCTTAAAATGCTTTTATTTTGCAAATAGAGTAGTTTTTAAAAATCAGGTTGCTGCTACGGTGGTAGAAAAGCTAGCCCTCAAGTCCATTTGCAAAATTAAAGAATTTTATGATTGCACTCGTATACCTCACCGTGCAAAATTTTGAAATCATCATTACTTAGTTCTTTCATTCACCGCGGGGGCCAACTTTGATTTGCCAATAGAAAGTTGAAAATTAAGAATCAAGAAAATCCAAAGCTATTGGCAAATCAAAGTTGGCTCCCGTGGAGAATAGAAGAACTATGAAAGTGACCACGTGGTTCTCCTGTCAACATATGTTCAAGTATGCCAATGCTTATGTGTGAATATTGTGAATTTAGGGTGCACTATCAGTGCTGATTGAAGGCTTTTAGCATTTACAGTCAGTGGTAACTAAAGGCCTATCATGAATAAAGGGTGTTACGTACAAAATTTGGTCGAATTAAACTAGACGCATTTATTTTAATCGAGCATTTAGAAAACGTGAACACCCCTCTTTAATAAAAACAACCAACCAACGAACCTTCATTTCGCAGGTATGTGCGTGCAGAATGATGCGTCTATTTTGATTTTGACATTCAGCTATCAAAATGGCGTCCAAGCAAGAGGAGCAACGCATCAAAATTTTGCACGTGCATCGCGAAAATCCGAACTACTCGCACGTCGAGTTAGCGAAATCGTTGAAAGTGACCAAATCAACTGTCAGCAACATAATAATAGTGTTCGGCGAACGTTTCTCGAAGCCTGGATCGGGGGGAAAGTGCATAAGCGATGACAAAAAAGCCAGTGGTTTCAAACGAACCCCAACCTCTCCGTCCGAGATGTCGCAAACCAGCTGGAAGTGTCATCTACAACCATGCATAGAGCTAAAAGACGACCCGGACTGTCGGCTTAAAAGAAGGCAGTGACTCCAAATTGCGACGATAAACAAAACAAGACAGACACTATCCCGGAGGCACGACGATGCTGACGAAGTTCAATTGCGTGGTAATGGTCGACGAAACCTACGTCAAGGCGCACTTCCAACAGCTTCTTGGGCAAGAGTTTTATACGGCAGCCGGAAGGGAAAAGGTGGCAGATATTTTCAAGCGTATGGAACTATTGAAGTTCGCTAAGAAATACCTGGTTTGACAGACACGACCGAAGATTTTACGTAGGATACTTGCTTGGTATCAATATTCGGCGTCTGTGTTAGGGAAACCACTTTCCCCCCTCACGGAAACGCCTCGTTTTCTGATCACAAAATTACGCATTTTCGTGCGCAAAACGCACGGAATTTTTGATTTATTCGATAGATAATAAAAGAAGTGAAAAATGATTGATAGAATTTCATGCTAACATTTTCCAATCGCGAGATATTCGCAATCAATCATGTAGCTCGAGATTTTTTTACTTGCTAGACGGTCCACAGTGGCCCACGAAGAGCAACTGAATCCGATCAGTAGCGGTGCGGCTTTTTCCTCCTTCTTTGGCGAATCGAGGGCTCTTGAAATTTTAAATAGTGATCTTTTGAAAATTAATAGTCATAATTTTAACAGGTTCATAGAAAAATTTCTTATCGATTGGTGTATTAAGAATTAAAATCTTAATAAGACCACGCATTCTTGTTTGTCCAAATTTCGATCGTTACACCCTTTGTAACCGTCGAATTGTGCGAGTGTGTAGATATTTATAAGAAAAAGCACCACATTAAAAAAAAACAAATTCATAAAATGTGTAAATCATGCACACCAATCTTGGGTCACCTTTTTTGCCAGTGTGCCGCAGATATGCCGATTTTTGCCGGTCATAGAGTAAGCTGCGGTTGTTTGTAAAATACCTATCCCGGCAACTCGGTTTTTCTGACGCCTTGAATGTTTTGGTTTGAAATTGCAAGGATAAATCGGATTGAGGATGACCCGCGGGAAGTGGCGGGTATATGAAATTTTGGTGTTTTGTGTTCATAGGATAATAAAAGTCTTGTGTTTTAGGGTTTTATAATGCACTCAAAGGCAGACTAGAAACTTAGTTTTTCGTGATGTGAAAAGCAACGGTCTATCAGCGTTCGGAAATAGTTGGAACCGGTTGGGTACGTTGTTGGAGACCGACTATAGAAGAGGATGATGAATATGACTTCTGTAGTTTGTTTTGTGTGAGTTGCAGCATTATTTGAATTAAGGGTACTAATAGGGTCTAATTAACTGCCTCTTTCTCTTGAGCCCAGTCTAGAAACTACATTTCGTATTTAGATCTATAAGTGAACCAAGAAGTAAACTGCTGGTCTGAGTTCCTCTTGTATATTCAATTAGAGGATTTTCCTGAATACACAGTAAACAGCACGTAATGTTGTGAACAACTTAAATGACAGTTGTCCGTCAGTACTCCTAATTTATTTACAACAATCCAATGCCTACGAGATTGTGCCGATGGATGTGCCCAAGCTGTGCCGAATCTAATTTCGACACTATGTGCTGAGTGACCTACCCCTTGGAACATTTCTGACGCAAAAGAACCTGGGGATCGTCATGCATGTAGTGCGAACCGGAAACTTCAGAATCGCTCCGTGTTTGCAGATGAAAGTAAGGATCACTTTGTTGCCAAAAGCATTAGAGAGTTAGCAAGCAAAAAACTAGCCGTGGTTAGTTTTTCAAACGGCGCTGGAAGACAATCAGGTAAAAAATCTCTCACGAAGATTTACTCAGCTTTATGAAAGATCTTAATCCGAGTGTTAATAAGGTCAGTATGTACATAACTTTGTACACTATATTTTTGTTATGTTACAATTGGCTAAACGTATGAGACATACCGACCGTCAAACTATCCAGCCCGGTCTCGAATCAGCAATAACGAAAGGCAACGCGGCCAATAATGATCCCAATAACGCTTCAAATTCTGTGACTGCTGCAAATGCGACTCAACATGCGCAATTTGGATTCGCTGGTCGCCATTGTAGGTGCTTGATAAACGTGTAGTATTGGCAGGATGGATGAGTGCATAGGTCTTTTTTGTGAAAGTTGGTCTACCGAAACCTTCCGGTAGCCCCAAAATTCAATATTGTTAAATATCACATAATAGATTTTTGCAAGAGTACAGGAAAAGTCTTAGCCTAGTTTACGGAAAAAACAAATGATGCTGTTCATAATGATTTTTCCCAAACATGGAGTATCTATAAAGCAGTGGAAAATTAATTCAAATACGACAAAAACTTGATGAAAGCGGTGGTATCGTATAGTAGTGCTCATTTGAAGTAATCTCCTTATCTTGGCAGCTCTAAGTTTTTTTTATCATTCTCTTTAGATATTTCAATTAAGCATTGATAAGAATGGATGAAACAGAAGGAACTGATAGTAAATTTAGAGAATAAACCATTGTAAATTATTTTATCATTTTAAACATTAAGAGTTCACGACAAAGTAACGACATCTTACGGTACCGAAGAGGAAATCTTACTGTACCATTGAAACGAAGTATTTTGACTACCTTAATCTCCAACAATCATATTCAGCTGTATTTGTTTCGATCCGTAATAGTTTTGTATCGTCAATAGTCCATATACGCCTTCATAAACGACAAAGTATACTTCAAAATACTTTTTCTCAAAAAACCAAAGATGAAATATTTTCAAACCATCACTGATTTGATTGTTAAGATCCATTCTAACTTCCTGTGATGAAAAAGCTGAGGTACATGTATGTTGCAAAAAAATTGCCTTCAGACATAGCGTGAATACTAATGCTTAGTTTTTAGAAATTCAGCGGAATTATTTTTGGGGATTCACTGATCCCGTTTTTGGGATTTCTATGATTCACCCTTAGAATAGTATTCTACAAAATAACTATTTGGGCCCTCCATAATCCCGCTTGGAATTGATTTGTATATCATTTGGGATTCTCTAACATTTCTTTTGGCATTGCGGACTGAATTTTTCTTCGGATTATTTATAATCTATGTCTTAGCGAGACTCTTCGATTGTACTGTTATTTTATCGAATTGCGCATTGTTTCTCCGGAAATATGCCGGCATTTGATTGTAAAGGTATTTAAAAAAATCAAATGCGGAAATTTTTAAAAATTTATCTATCGATTCTCCAAGAGCTCAAATAAGATTTATCTTTTAAATTCCTCGGAAAATTTTGTGGAATTCATTGCTATGTTCTTCATTTACTCCTGATCAGATTGTAAAGAATTTTGAGTGGGATTCTTTAAAATCTTCCTTGGAGTTATTTGAAGTTCCTGCCTTAATCAGAATGCCACTTGGAACAGTCTAGAATTCCCTTTGATGTTCTATAGAATCCCACCTGAGGTGCATGGTTATACCTTTTGGGAGTCTCTAGAATCTTCTATGAATCTTGATGGTGCTGGTGATTTACGCGGATAAGCATTTTCGCTTCTGTTATCATGAAATTGAATCTTTAAAGACGTGTTATTTAAGTTATTCATCGAAGCTACCGAGTTCTTGGTAGAATGCAAGACATACAATGCAACGAATCTACGGCTTTTAGTGATTAATTTGATGGTTAATTATGATATTTTTTTAATGGATTGCAGTCTTTACGGAGAGACGTCATTATTGCATTCAAAAGGCACTTTAGCCAAAACGATTTTTTTCAATATTGCTCACATATTTTCAAACAAATTTTTTTCGTTTGCATGTAGAGCGTATGTATTATACAGTAAAGAATGCGTAGCAACAAAAAAGTGGATTTAGGTCATTTGGCTTAACGTCAACTATGCAGTCATAGGCAGTTTAGACCTTTCGACTTTTTACTTGTGGACCTTTTGTCCTTTCAACCATGTATCTGTCGACCTATTGTCCTTTCGAA